AAATATTTCTTACATACTCATACTCATGTTCTATTCAGTATGACGTATGTTAAGTCTCGGTGTGCTCCCAGCACGTCATAATAATTAATAGTATTGTATTGACTTGTGACATTGACAATTCATTTTGGTGTAAACACTTTTGTGGCTTCGTTGGAATAGATAAAAAAACAACATGACAATTATACTGTCAAATTTATCAGTTTTCCCAGTTTCAAGCCCCAGCCTTAAGTATTACACTGCATATATTTATATAAAGTTGTTATAATATATCTAATGGTCTGACACGAATTGCTGATCGTCAAATACGTTTTTGGAAACAAAAAATAAGAACAACCCGTACACCCGTATTATTTTATAGATCGTTTTTAATCCATTTGTATTTTTTTAATTTTAATCATTTTCGACGTGTTGCCATTAAATATTTAAATGTATATTTTTTTTTATGAACTATAATCATTGTAAAGGTGGGTACATTAATATTCTAATAAAATTATGCGTTTGTCGATTTCGTAATTTAATCACGATTTCAACAGGCGTTTAAATTATTACCTACATTTGCTTCAAAAGACGCTTCGATTTTTTCAAAAAATAAAATACTTAACGAGAATACATAATCGTGAATAATAACCACTTTAATGTCCAAAAGCGATTTCGGTGTCTGCTGAGTGGTAATTTTTTATAGGCTAATATTTTGTACTATCGGTGATTTTTTTTGTATCTTTTTATAGGTAGTTATTTATCGCGGTGAGAATATGTAAAAAAATTTCCCCAAATAGCCGTGAGTCGTTTTTGGATTTTACAATACATGTACTATATACCAAATACCAATAGATGTTCGTAATGTAAGCCAGCCAAATTCAAAATAATTTTGAATTTATTCAGGTTTTCTCAATATTCTATTACGTAATTTACAAGTATTTGTAAGCACGCATTGGTAATTTGGAAGTTCATCAATTTTCATTTTCCACACAAGTTTAAATTCGAAACATGGACGTTTTTTCAATTCCCGCGAGCTTTTGACCGTGCAATCACGAAACACACAACATGCTAAAACGTAAGATAAAAATTGTATATAATATGTAAAATAATTTAAGAAACATAGGTAATATACTAACATATAGGTCAGGAAATCACCAAAAATAATATTTTGAAAAAGTACGTTTAGGTACATGCTAAATCAATTTACTCAAAAAAATTCTAAAATATCAACTACTTGACTTAGATAAATGTTTTACCATAAAAATTGTTCTTATTATCAGATTTACAAATTGGCAATTTTGAATTTTCAAAAATAAAAATATTTTTTTTTATACTAAGCATAGCGTACCTAGAGCAAGTGACTATAAATTATATGTAAAAAAATTTTAAATATTGATTAGAATAAAAGTTATTTCATTTGTCAGGTATTCCTGTTACATCCTGTAGGTACCTATGTTTGAGGGCATGTGACATGCATTTGAGTGAACGGTTACGGTGATGATGATTGTGGAGATAAAAGGACAAATAAGGACATCTCAAGGGAGGCTGGGTTTCTGTAGTCTGCAATGACTTGTTTTTTCCCGGTTTTATTTAAGTGGCTACTTCAATCGAGTCGTCTTGAATGATATTTTTTTTAATTAGTCTTTGAACCATGTGAGCTGGTATGTGGTACCTATTCCGGTGTCGTTATGGAGTTGCTTGTTACGCGTAGCATATTTTTATTTTGACTTCGACAATAACCGAGGACGACCACAACTCGTTCGTGGTCAATAAGGGCGAACTGATGGGTGAAATACTACCAAAATCGACATGTGACTACCGTGTTTATAATTCTCGACATGATAAATAAATAGTGTAGTTAAATAATTATAGATACTAAAAGAAAATATCATCAAAATAAGTACACTTAAAAACTAAACGGATATTAAACTTATATATTATGATACGTGTGTAGACTCGAGAACTAATAATGGTGTGTAACTGTCGAGCTTAACATTAAAACAAACATTTGCTGTGTTCATGTCGTTAAATTAATTCTAATAGATATCATCTTGTTTATAAGATAATTATTATGATAATAAACCTTTTATACCGCTCTATTGTTCAGCCAATTTCAGAACATGGTGCCTTGCCCAAGCCGGGCATCCGCACACTGCCGATAATGCTCTTCAACTAGAAAGGGTTCATAGTAGGTTTTTGTGATTCGTCAGCTGTTATTTGGCTATTAAGCCCCCTCGTGATTATGCTAAGCTTCTTGCTCAAAATCCTGCTCGTTGCTAAGCATTGCAGCATTAGACCCATACAATTATACATTTTGATTGTTTCCTTATTTTCAATTTAAGCTGAACTGTAGGAACTCAATAATTTTTAAAAGCGGCCTCTACATGCCCCCTCCCTTAATTTAATTAGCCACTTCAAGTGCCTAGTATTTATTATTTCAAATACTTATCCATAGTCATAGGACTCTTTATAAGTAGCTGGTATACGACAGTCGATAATTTACCACCATGTTTTCAATTTTATTTTCCCATGATTTTCGTTTAACCATCGCACCAATTATTGAAATTGAAAATCATTGCATTTGTCATGCTAAATGAGAACCATTATTATCCTTATCATTTTGTCGTTACGTGGCTAAATATATTATTTAAAACAATTGCCCGTTTGTGGAGTTTTTCTTCACTGCGTCATAATGGACTAAGAACCTAAAAACTTACACAATTTTCATACAGACGCTCCTAGAATCAGTGACATGATATTTGTAGTCCAGAATCATAACAATTTTAAGTGATAAATAAATATACCACTGTCGGTCTAGGAAAACAGTATGTTTTCCTGAGAAGACAGCTTTAAATGTGGGTATTTTATGTTCAATTAAAAAAAAAATGTATTAAGTTTTCATATAAATATTTTTAAGTAGGTAATGTAACATACATATTATAAAACCAATACATTCATCACTCTGCTTACCCCCATCCTTCACCTCATGATTATTTTACTATTTAAAAACGAGAAAATGTTTACATAAAACATATATGTATATTGACATTTACCTCAATTGGACATTTCTGTGCGAATTACTGCTAAAATATTATCATACCGACCAGCCTGGGCAAGGATCAGTTTTTGTAAATTAAACAAACTAATAATATATAATAATATGGAACATTCCATTACAAAAAAGGAACAACACAGCAAATTGAAGGACTAAGCTACACAGCATTCCATCTATAAGGCATTACTAACTTCATAATCAGCTTCAGGTATTAAATTTGTTATCTTAGAAAAACCCAATTAGCACAGTGCACTAAAGCTATAATTAAAAATAATTATATACACTTTACAATTTACATTGAAAACATATAAAATAGGAATTGGGTAAACTTAGGCAAAATACATTTATTAAAGAAATAATACAGTAGATACTAAAATGCATAGTTCTTAATCAATGTCATTTATAAACGTATAGGTGTATAAATAATACATGACGGTAGGTACAAAAAAAAAGGGTGGTTTAATTATATGGATTTAATTTGTTTACCCTAAATGTACACCTTAATTAATACAACTTAACAAATACAATATGTATAGTTTACATAAGACATAATATGATAAATTTAATAAAAAAATTCTTAGTTTAAAACTAATATTATCTTAAAAGTTTTCAGTCGTTTATCTGCACATTAATGCGCATCGACAACATTATTTTCAAATGGAATGTTTTTTCTTTTCTTTAAATACAATATAAATAAAATGTTTGTCCATCCTTTACAAGGGTTTCAAAATAATAAAGTACATATCACAAATGGCAACAATACAAAATAATAATTCATACAAACTAACAAATATTTGTAGAGGAAAAAAAATTAATTTTAATGAACTTACTACATACTTTATAAGATGAGGATAAAAGAAAATACATTCTAATAACCAACTTTTCATAGTATATAAATATAAAATAATAATATAGTTTTTTGTTGAGGATACAAAAACACATAAAAAAAAATCAACAAAATCTTTGATTTAACGAAGTAATAATCTACAATAATAATAATAATAAAAAAATTGAATATTGTTTATAATTAACACGTGGGTATCTAATATGTTTTATATGTACTATAGTCGAATGTTGTACAAATAATATTATAATATTAAGTATTACAGTGTTCAAGCAAAATGTATAGTAGTAAAATATAAACTATTATTAAAATAATATGGAATGGAGTTAAAAATATTTTGATTTTTAGACATAATATTTTACGGTTATCTCTTAGTCAGTTGAATTCTGTATGCCGATGTGTGCATAATAATTAACCCTGATTGATTTTTCATATATTTACAAATAAGTACAATGCGTGTAAAAAGTTCTTAGTTCAAAATGATCCAATGGCAGTATACAAATATTATTAAAACATTTTTAAGTACCTAAAAAAATAAACATCAATCGCCAATAACACATTGAGTAACAACATATTGGATCAGATTTTTTGAAACCACGTTCACAGGAGGAAACACCCGATCCCCGGAGAATTAGATATCTCAGAATTTCATAAAATTCTATAGAAAAATATGCAAGTAATTACTGGGAAGCGATTTAACTTAAATTGTAAACATTGCACAAGCGAAACTAATATTATACATAGTTTAATGTTGACGCCTACAAAGATTTGTGATTTTGTTACAAAAAAAAAAAAATAAATAAAGAGAAAATAATATAATTAGACTAAAGCAGTCTGTTGTTGAGATCACGAATCAATTTTTGAATTCATATACAAAAATTTGACTTCGTTACTGTCAATAATACACAAAACAATTAATAGTAAAATGAAAATAAAAATATTTTTAGTAAATATTGTTATTAGATAATTGTCATTAGAGCACAGTCATATCTCTGTACAAATGATTCGTTTTTTAATGTTTTATATAGTCGGTACTTAAGTCTAGGTATGTACTCGCTATATAACCTTACAGATAACATATGCACCGGTAACTGATTATTCAGAACGAATTTCAAATGTGTGTTAGCACCACGACTCGGGATGAGTATTGCGGTACGTTTCACTTTCTTCATCACTTGGATCTTCGCCATACATATCAGCCAATTTGCGGAATCTCGGTCCAAAGTTAGAAAGGTAATCAAAGTTTAAGTCCCCGTCATCTGTACCTATACACATATATGAATAAAGATAAAATATTAATTAAATATTCAGAAAAAAATTATCTTTTAAATATTAGTGTTGAATGATTAAGACTTAAACTAACCTGAAGCTAATGATGAAAGTGATCCAACTGAATTGCCTTCACCTTCATACATATAATTGCGGACATCATCATACGGACCTAAATCTGGATCATTATCTACTGAGTTCAGTTTGTCACCAAGGAAGCCACAAATATCCGGAACTTCATCTGGAGCTGAAAAGTAAAATAATTATAATGATTAAAATACATGAAAATATTAAACTGAATAACTGCAGTAAAAACCGTGTTCAGCATTGAGATTAGTAATTGTGATTGTAAAATGCAAAAGTATAATTGAATACTCATTTGAATCACCTACTAGCAATGAATAATATAGTCTACTTCAATTTTAACAATTTTAGAAATATTTTAGACTATGCAAATGAAAACTTCTATAGTTACATTTATACAGTTTAAAATAAAATGCATTATTATAAAATATATATAAGTGGTTTAGTGTAAAACATAAACCGCGTCCAGACCTAAGATACATTTGTTGAAGACACGTTTTCGGACAATGACAGCAACAAAAATTTTGTTACCCCTATGACGGGAAATCAGAAACATGTCTACCTTCAATGTATCCTAGGTCTGGACACGGCTTGAAAGATGAATAATTTTGGAATACTTTTAATACATTATTTAAATTCTGACCAAAGGAAATATATTAGTCTTACAATAAATTATGTGTTTTTTTTAATTTTTATATACATTTATCCAAATGTGAAACGTATTTAAATATTGTGAGTCAAATATAATTCAACATGAAAATAAAATAGAATTATTAATTTGGTTCCACTACAATAATTTCTGCTCAAACTCAATTTTCAATACATACCTATTAATTAATGTAAAATATATTACAAAGGCTTACCACGTTTTTGCAATAAATTTCCAGAATCATCAAATCCTTGATTAGGTTCTGAGCCATCAAACATAAGCCGCAAAACGTTCAAGTCATAACCGGTCATGTCTCCTTCGCCGCCACCTTCATCTTCATAGTTGATTATGTTTTCTCTAATATCATCGGTGTCTTTGTACAAATCATCAGACTTTCTTCTATGCACTACTACTGCTAGCAACAATACTAAACAAATACAATGTTTATTTAGTAATGTTGAATATTTGTATTTCTGAGGATTAACTTACTCAATAAGACAGCTAGACACACAAAAATGGCTATCAAGAAGCTAGCGTCAATACCAAATGACACAGCAACTGCTGTACCATGTGTACATGAAAAGTCAACATTGCGAGACATACTAGGAGCACCCAAGTTGTATAGATGACCATTGAATGTTAAATTACGTATACAACCGTTGAATCCATTGCTAAAAGGTTTATGAGTCCAATTGCGTGTGGATGCTATTGCTTTAAGGTCGACAAATGATCCACCAAGTTGTAAAGGTCCATTGACATTTAAATATTCGTTGATTCCTATTGGAGGGCTAAGGCTTAAGCATGATGGAAGATTGCAGCTGTCTACTTTCATTTCAATGCTCTATAACACATTAAAAATTATGAATATATTGATAAAACATAAATAATTATGTTTGTGTAATTATAAGTACAGTTTTGGTCCAAATAATTTCGATGCGATGTGGTTCTCCGTCAGATATTTTAATTTGTTTTTGTCCAATTTTGAGTGTTCCAGAGCCATAGTCTACCAAAAGTACAGGATAACCATCTTTGAGCTCCAATGACATAAAATCTGTAGAATATAATAATTAATAAGAGACATTTGATGTTTAATTTAATTTGTTCTAAATACCTTGTACAGACAATGGAGACGGTTTGACACTGCTGGGCCCGGCGTAAAATAATAGACCGTTGTCAACAGAGGTGCGCACTTCCAATGACATATGAGACTCCATACAAGATTGTAAGGATGGATATAAGGCATAACCTTCACCGTAAAAACCAATGCTGAGAATTTCACATCGAGGTCCTTCGAAACCAGAAGGACACTGACATACAGTACTAAAAATATGAAGACAGTGTCATTAACTAAACTATTTAAATTCAATGTAAAATCTATGTAAATAATTTACCCATCTGATGTTGGAGTACCACCATTATGACATGTGATTTTAGTGGTTGCTCTCTGTTCGCACTGGCAAAATGGATCTATCACAGCTCGTATCCCAACGAATGATGTGGTATTTGTGTATACAGCAGCTGGTTCATTGCTTTTGTTCAAGAAATTTGTACAGGACGATTCACAATAAAGTTTTTCGACAAGACATTCATCAATATTGACCATGAGAAAAGTGACACCTAATTCTTTTTCAAGCTATAAAATACGTTTTAAAACAATTAGTTAGTTGTGTAATAAGTTAAATCATTTTTGTTATTTACCTCTAGTTGATGTTTATCAATAGCAGCATTGATTCTTTCAGGTTGATAATATGGGGAACCATGAGCCGAAAAACGTACATCCAATTGGGTAGTGTTGGGATTGTGAGGAGAATGCAAAATAGTAAATACATCAACATTTTCAACAGTGGCATTTAAAATTGAAGCCAACCGTTTCTTTAAAATAGTTGCCTTACTTATGTTGTCCTAAATTAATATAAAAAAATATTGTCATTATAAATCGATTACATAGAAAATGGTAGGGTTTCTATAAAATAATACATACCGGACCAGGGGTAATAAATTCTTCAGCTGAAATTCCTGCCAATCTAACCGATCCTGACTTATCAACAGCTTCTTCAGGTATTTCCTTAACAGTGACAATAACAGTCGAATTCACTGTATGTCTGGGGATCTTCATTCCTTGTTCCGTGATTTCAAATTCCAAGACAAAAGTCTGTTCTTTGGTGTTTTGTAGCATAGTGATCATTCCAGTTTCTGACTTAAGGTCAAAGCGTTCATGCGGCCCATGTAGCCACTTGAACTTTTTGTCGGGCAAATCCCAGTCATCCAAGTCATCAACATACACGCGTCCAATTTCCATGTCTGGAGATTCGCCCTTATATGTGTAAACAAATATGGAGCTCCTACCAGGCTTCATTGGATTGTCGTTCTCATCACCTATTACTACTTGGAGTGTACTCGTCCCCGTTAAATTAGGTATTCCACTATCAGTTATTGTTATGGGTATATTATAAAACTTTTTCTCCTCACGATCAAACGTGGTTAAAGCCTGAAGTTCAACACCTGTAAATGATATACAGAGCACATTAGTAAAACTTTAGAAGGGGTTAATTTATAATTTTACAAACCGGAAATTCCAAATTTTGTTTTGATTTCGTAAGAGGCATCAGATGAGATGAAAAATTCAAATGGTGCACCGTTTTCAGGTCCATCGTTATCTTTGGCGGCCAGTCGTGTTATTGTTCCAGATAATTGATTCTCACGCCAAACTACTGGTTGGGGCTGAAAAAATAAAACGAACAAATGTATTACAAAGAACAGTTACATTCCATGATTGAACCAATCTTCACAAAGATTTTTTTTATAAATAAATGTAATAAATATATTTTTTATTTTGTTTAAATATAGTTTAATATCTTTGAGGAGCAATTCAATTGAGAATCAATTCTATTTTATTATCAGGTAATATGATTAAAAATAATAATAACGCATTAGACTAGTCAATCTTAATGAATTCTAAAAAAAAAAAAAAAAAAAAAACCGGTTATTTGTCTTAACTTAACCTAGCCTGCATTTATGTTGAACAAGGATTTATACTCTGTTCAGTTATCAGTACTATCCAATAACTTACCATATCCAAATATGGTGCATTGTCGTTAATGTCTCTGAGTGCAATGATGACTTCTGTGGTTTGTTGCAAGCTCTTCGGACCACCGCCTTCGTCACTGGCTTGTATGATGACTTGCCACGTAGCATAACCATTTGGTGGATCGCGGTCAAGGGGTTTTATGAGAGACAGACATCCGTTTTTGTTGATGGTCATTAACTTTCGTTGGTCGTCTTTGACCACAGAGTACACGATACGTTGATCCATGGATCGGTCCTGAATATCTGGATCGTATGCTTCCAACTACAAGAGGATAAAAACATCACGATTGTCATAACATTTTTTTTTTAAAAAGCACCCAAAATAGTATTTTGTAAACGCTTACTGTAGTTATGCATCCTGGTACGAGTTCTTCTTCTGTGATTGTGATGTTTCCGTCGTACGGCCGGAACACAGGCGGGTTGTCGTTGACATTGGATATTTTTATCTCTACTGTACAGTAGTCCTCGTAAGCTCCGTCAAAAGCTCTCACTTTCAATACATACTGCAGGATTTTATAATACATACACATTATTATACCGACTTCGGCAAACGCTATTAGAGCGTGTGGTTCGATTGCATGATAAGTGGGAGGTACTTACGTTAGTGATGTTTTCGTAGTCCAGCTGACTGTTAACTTTTATTTTTCCGGTCGTGTTTTCGATCAGGAACGCGTTGTAGATGTTTCCATCCACAATGCTGTACGTGACCGGGGACGCAGTATCGTCATCCAGGGCCTTTACTTCCGTGACCAGAGCGTTCAAGTTGGCGTCTTCCGGTATTTCTTCCGCTTCGTAAACGGACTGGGTAAAATGAGGAGGATGGTCGTTTTTGTCGGCGATTTCGATCCGGAATACTTGTTCGCCTGTTCAACAACATTTATATTTATATAAGTAAATAAATACACAACACCAACACAGTGAATATAGTTGTGGCACTTTAGTGTAACGGCGTGGGCGTGACGGAAAGAGTTGTTTATTTGGTCGAACGTCTGCTCAGAGGGTTACTAATTATCGTTCTAATAATACGAGTGTATAACAGTTAAATCAAGCCAGTGGCCGTAATTATAAATTTGTTCCGGGGAGGGTTTATATCTTCATCGTTTTTCTACGAACATATTATTATCACGCATTCGCGGCCCAGACCCTATGTCACCAACCCCTCCTACTCTTTGGGTTGATGTCCAAATAATTTCAAACACAACATTCTGTGTGCAAAACTAGAGTATGGTATACTTAGGTTTCGATATAACGTTGTAATCTATTTTTGAAAAAATTAAGAGGATTTTATTAATATTTTCAGTATTTTCATTGTCACGAAGTTAGATGAAGTCTCGATATTCTTTTCCCGATAAATGTAATGCAGGCGTTAATTTCTACGTTACGATTATAAATATTTCAATATAATATATTACCAATTGATTTGCTAAAATTTGTTTTTACATAATTGAGAAGAATATAACTCTCGTGGCAGCAGAAAACTCTGAGCCGTTCATAATATATAATATGGTTATGAGTACCCATCCATAAATTGTTGTTATACCAAAATCGAGGTCTTAAGACGGATCTCAGAGGGTGTTTTCTCCGGCCACCAATCCCGTCGCGCCCGCAGTTTATTACAATAATCATTAGCATTCTATTGAAAGAGAGACGACGACGACATCCACCGCGCCCTTGTACACTCACCCTTGTTGTGTTCACCGGTCGAGTACAGCGCCGACGGAGCGTTGTCCGTGGCGATCACCTTGACGTTGTACACATCTTGTTTCTCGCGGTCGAACATCACAACCGTGGTTATGTTACCGGTGTACGGGTCGATGGCGAAATAATCACGGTTGTCGGCCAACTCGTACGTTACGCGGTTGTTGGCCATGCTCGAGTCGGCGTCGATTGCTCGGACCTGCATCACGGCGGTGCCAGCCGGTTCGTTCTCCAGAACGGAACCGGACACGACCTCGGTGAACACCGGTATGTTGTCGTTTACGTCTTCCACTTGGATGTTCAACTGGTGTTCGGCAGCCAGGTTGTGCTTGTTCTGATGAAATAAAAGAAGGCCGTCACAGGCATTAAAATATATGTATACAATACACAATTATATAGAATTATTGCGTTTATCGCGCTGTATTATTGGCTCTGCGTAGGGGTTACCTACTTATACGGAAAACACATTAGAAGCAGGGGCAGTGGTGTGGTGTCATAAGTATGACAATTTTCAGATTTATTGACAAAGTAATCTTCCACGGGTCGAAGAAATTTTTTCAATAAAACTCAATTCAATCGTTTCTTATATTATAATTATTAGTATACACAAAAACAAATTGTATAGGTATTTTTTTTTCCAACGAAACGATGAAAATAATTTGGGTTATCGGGTTACTTTTTAATCTGAAATAGTCAGTTTATGGGGACAATTTATTTTGAGTCAATAATATTTTAAAAGTAGAATCATTAATTTTAATTAACAGTAGATATTCAAATAGTAATTAAAATGTTTGAGTTTCAGCACAAGGACAAACACGATGAGACTGCAATCTGTATTCCCGCCGCATTATGTATTGTCTCCGTCTTATACCAACGTACAACTCATCAAATTTACGTTCATAAGAATCCATTTTGTGTTGTTAACTTCAATATTATAGAGGATTTACCTATAATTATGAAACTTAAAGGTAAACATAATTTATATTATCTTGAGCATCTCTAGGAGCTTTTGTTAATTTTTTTTTTACCTTAAAGAGACTTATAAGTTATAATTATGTCAAAATGTCTCACTCGTTTTATAAATGAAATAACGATAAAAACCAAGATAATAGTATATTTACCTTTAAATCATATAGTAGGTCAATAAATTACCCTTAAATTAAAATTAACGACACATAATAATGGATTCTGCTAAACACAAATTTGCCATGTTTTACGTTTTGTTGGGCAGAGACAGACAACACATATGCGAGTGGAACGTCCTCTTAAAATATTCTGTAGACGGCAGACAGCGGGCTGTGGTATAAATACACACATATACATACAAATCTTTTGTTGCATGTTATTATTACAACAGTATACACTCCCGGGTTGTCGGTCGACGTATGTATGTAATATTAACGTAGACTATAATGCGCAGCGGAATATAATAATATGTAAACAACACAAACGTTTTACCTGTATTCGAATGTTAAGAATGTACTCGGATATCGATTCGTAGTCCATGTGCCTCGATAATCTGATATGAGCGGTGTTACCTTCGGATTCCAATCGGAAAGTGTTCAATTTGTTTGATTGTTCCGTCCGGCCAGGCACCAATTCGAAAACCGGCGCTTTTTCATCCGTGTTCGATCTACGCATAAAGAGGCCAGGCCAAACCCGACGATAAATTATAACAACGTTTCGCAGGCACAGAGATTATTTTTTTTTTCTTTTGGATTTGGCTTATAAATTATTACAGGGAGTGATGAGACACAACTTACGCTGCGATGATGGTGGCAATGTCGAAACTGAAATTAGTCAGGTTCTCCGGCAGACTGATGATTCTGTCGGGCTGGACGGATATGAACGTCGGTGCTTTTTTGTGTGATTCGACCACCAAGATCTCTAGATCCATCGTCGCTGACTTTGGAACCAAGCCTTGATCTGTGGCAGTGGCTCGCATCTTGAACTTGTAGCCGGGATCTCGCTAAAATAACAATAATATATCATAAGTTATATATCAGGTTTAACGAGAACACGTATTATATAAAATAAAATCGATTCGATTGCGATGTACAATACGATATATACGAAATTATACGTACGTCGATTGCGCGATCTAAGTATATGACGCCTGTGTTTTGATCGATGCGGAAATAATTCGAGTCCTGCGGCATTCTGGGCGACAGATCGTATTGTATGGCACTGTTTATACCGTCGTCGATATCCGTGGCCGATATTCTCATCACTTCACTTTTGGACAGCAAGTCTTGGGGTACGGATTCAACATAGTTCTTAAAAAAAATTAAAAACAATCAATAAACTTCTGCACATACATTATACTATGACTGTCACAGCCGTTTAAAAGCAACAAATTGATAGATAGTAAAAAAAAAAAAAATATATTAGAAAAACAAAATAACATGCGACATGCACTCCAAACGCTTTTTGCACATTTTCGTGTAAAAAAACGCCTAGCATAATAGTTTAAAAAAAAAATTGATTTTAAACGATAGAGTCGATCACAAGAGTGTTGATAAAAAAACACGATAAAAATAAGTCCGTCTGAACGAAATCCATGCAGAGAAAAATAAAATAACAAATAAACGAAACACGGCGAATTAATAATAATTAATATAATATCATAAGATAATATTATTATGTGTATTATATTCGGCGGGGCGCATGCAAGAACACCTCGTACCTTGTAGTTGAATCCTCGATAGACCTGGATTCGATGTATGTACAATACAGGTAATGTATAATGACAGTAATAATAGTAGTTGTAATAATGTTATTATATCGTGTTGATGATTCGTTTGTATGTAATAATAGGTTGCAGTTGGTAAACTGCATCCGGACGGTATTAATACAGACGCGCAAACGGTTTTGCGGTTGCAGTGAGGGGAGTGTACGTGACGGAGGGTGGTTGTGTTATACCGTACCGATTACCGCACCACCAACTGCACTATCACGTGAATGTACCCGACCGACCACGATATCATATCATTTTATACGAATAATGTACTCACCACTTTGTCGAAAACCGGTGAGTTGTCATTCTCGTCTTGAATGGTCACTTTGATGGTGCACACGTCGTCCAGATGCGGTTTCCCGTTGTCCGTGGCTCTCACAGACAGGTACACTTCTTTTTCGCGGGTCGGTTCGTCCCGGTCGAACATCTGAGGAATAATAAACAGCACAAAATGGTTAGACCCGGGGCCTGATAGGTGATAACTTAATTGCTCTCACAGTATAAAGACTCGATCGACGTGATTTTCTACGTTTTCAGCACAAAAGTATTTTTTTTTTTTTATATATATATATGACAAACAAAAACATTTTTAATAAATGTACATATTTTATACGTCATATAAAATTAACTGTATAATATATTATCATGATTAATATCATTACGGCTTAAAGAAAAAAAAAACATGTATTCCACTTAGAATTTAAAATCGATTTATTACTGTTATATAAATTATAATATTCAAACAACCCTTTACAAATTAGGTTAATCATGAATAAATAATAGCATCAATAATTGACTGTCCCAAGTCTTCCCATAACTTCCTACTAGAGCTGGTATCCAGAGGGAGCGTATAAACCGCAGATAAATGCGTATGCAGAGACCTATAGTTAGGCGGAAACGAGGAGGGAATTCTAAAAATTAAAGAAAAACAGTTTCCCTGCCCCTCCTTCACCCCTTCCAAACCAAACATCGACAAATACGCTACTGATCGTGTCTATATATATTATATATATAAGAGCATAATATAAATGTTATACTTACGTGTCGAGTGGTGATCTCTCCGGTCTGGGCGTCGATGGAGAACTTTGGACGTTCGCCGGGCGCGCTGACAAATGTGTACGTGATTGTACCTCCATTGTCCGGTGGGTCCTTGTCGAACGCTTTGACCTGACAACGAGAAAACGGACACGTGTGAGATTTATCGGAGCGTGAAACGCACATTATTATTATTATTATCGTCGACATAATCATCATTATTATCTAGTGAACTGTTTTTATGGTCGACGCCGATTTTTGAAGATCATTATCATTATAATTCGCACGAATAATCATCGTATGAGCAAAACGAATTGGGACGGGCACGCCAAACAATAGGGTTGCCTAATCGAAATCGATTTGGATATAATATATTGTTATTATTATATGCATTCGAAAGGGTAAAGCAAAATCGGTAAAACTATATAGGTATATAATAATATATAAGCATATCATAATAGGTACAATGTTTATTCTACATGTGGTACATGAATATTTAGTTCAAATAGTCAAAAAATTGATATTGGGATATTAGCAAAGAATATATTTTCGAACTATACGCTGCTCCTATCCGATACTACAATAATATAATACTAAAATACGGTTTGAATTTTTTGTACACAAATCAGTGATAGAGAAGAAAAAAAACATTTGTTAATGTCGGAATATTATCATATTATCTCTATATCCCTAACCAAATAGGTACAGCGAATTGAGAATGCTCTCAGTGCGATACCTGCAGTAGTGGCTAGTATAAGTATATTATTATATAATATCATCATCACAACTGTAATTACTAGTGGCAGTATTTTTATTTTTAGATGTACCATGTACTTACGTTCCAGCAATTATACCGTCCGACGGGGTTTATACTTTAAAATATAGTGTAGTAGGTGTACGGTAGTACATAAATATGCATATAATATATATATATATATATATATTTATTATTTTAATTTCACTCATTTTAAAATATTGTAATTTTTTTTGTACATACCTAGGTAGTAGGTACCTACATATTTATAATCGATCGAATATCGATGGTCGCCGGGTTTTCACCGTATAGAGCTGACTTTACGCAAACTCACTACAATCGAGGTACGGCGTAATATGTATAATTCAATTTAACAACAATTATTATAATATGTTTACCCACGATGTCGACCCACGTGCAGTTTTGAACCTTTTAAATACAGTTGCCGTTGTAGTAGTGATAATATATAATAGCAGAGGTATAGGTCAGGTCGTAGTGGCGGTTGTGTGTAGTACCTATATAAACCACAACCTACGTTGTGAAATATTTTATAACCATTTGTTTAATATATAAATGGTAGACGCACAGCGTGTCTATTTAATTATTAACGTCGGATTGTTCTCTATTATTGACATCGCTAGTCAATTTTTAATCCGATTATTTAATATTCTCGTGCGTACCGATATATGTACATACAAGTGTAAATATATATGGTCCGAATTACGTTTTAATTATACATCGATAGACAAAAATATGAAACGGTGTACATTTGCAGAATAAGTTTTTGTTTTGTATATATAATATATATATATGTATATATATATATATAGTATTATAGTTACAATAGGTGGCTTGTTAGTAGTAGTAACAATATCGATCGACGAATTATTTTTCACGGGTGTATTATTGTTATATTTCAAGGTTGAAGCAGCACTAGTTCAATTATTTACCCGCCGGTGATTTATAAATTAATTTAGATTGTTTTGTCGTCAATTTGTGATCTTTTCAAATTTTCATTCGGTGTAAAAGGACGCCTGGCGGATATAAAATTAATCGAAGTCTCAAAAGTGTTGATTATTATTTTAAAGCGTACATATATAATATAGTTCAGTGAGGGAAATAAGTAATAACAGTAATGTTAAAAGTACAAAGAAACTGTAAACGCATTTTGTTATTATTAATATAATCATATCACCTAGTCGGTTCCAAAAAAATATGACAACAACTGAAATACCTAATTTAAAGAACAATGAATTATTGTTGAAACTAAAAAATTGGTTAGATAGGTAGATGGTTAATGGTTATCAGTATTATATACCGACAGACATTATTGCATAAACCGTATAAAAAATTAAGTCTCTATAATTAAGTTAATGATTTTTTAATTTTAAAATTTTAGACTATAAGGGTAGGCGGATAAAAATGAATTAAGTATTTTAATATAATAATTACGATGACACGGTATTATAAATTTAGGTACACCAATGTAGTAGAACGTAGATACTTTATTTACTGGATCTCGTAATCACGTTCTTATGTATTTCTTTCAATAATACAATATTATGACGGCACGGCGCCTTAGTTAGGCAATTTAGTAACTCTACCAATGTATAGTACTATAGTGGGTTAATTTTTGTGAGTATATTGTAAGTCTACAATTGATACACATAAGAAATAATTCTGAACACCCGAAGATAGGTGTGCATGAACCAGAGGAGTCAGTGGAGATCACTGAGTGCGTAGGTGTAGCAAAAAATAAAAAATAAATAACAACCAAATTCGTTTCGAAGAGTGTTGTACTTTATCACTGCAATTGTTATTAATATTATTATCATAATATATAATATATAGCTGAATGATTATCATTTATCATTCAATGAGGGCAATAGCTGCTTTATACTATTGGACGAAACGATCAAATATATTATCATTATTATGTAATTTTTACGACGAATGTATATCTACGTAAGCACGTCAAGAAAATAACTCAGAAAATTAATTGCAATATAATAGTCTTAAAAGTCTATAACAATAGAGCTGCTTTGCAAAGGTTTAATTGTTATATTTTGAGTGAGTTACGTAATAATTTACAAGCCAAATAATATGGCATACCTGCCTATTTATTATGTAACCACGGCGTCGATGCCGGGCTACACATGACACACGGTCGTATTATATACGTTCACAAATCGCTCGGGTAAATATTTTATTCAGTACGGTTTTGTACTTTGCGTGTAGTTTCCGAAAGCATAGAAGTAGCACGTAGGTATATAGTAAGAAGGCTGATTTAATATTATAATAATGTATAGGTTAGTCGGGCGGATCCGACGGCATTAATAATCTGTACATAGGTTATGTATAGTTAGGCAGACAGGTATACGAACATAATATAGAAATACCATACTATTGTCACGGCGATAATTATATAAAATTAAGACTATTAAGCGAAGGCTATACAGTATACCCATTAGTGACACATGATTATATCAGACGAAATTTCGAATATAGATTGTTCTATGTATAAGTTACAACTTACAACTCTGTTTAATTTCGTTGTAATTTTGTCGACGAATAAATAAACGAAAAGAAAAAGTATTATAATATTATACTCACGGTGAACACATAAGTGTTGGTCGGTTGTTCTTCCTTGACGCTGGGCTGGTAATTCAAACAGCTCGTGAACACCGGCTTGTGGTTGTCCTGTACGGTCAATCCAAGTTTAGGGCCAAATCCTCGGTTGTCCTGGAAATTTAACACGAAAAATAATTACAATGTTTTCAAGTTGCGGAAAATCACGGATAGGGAGGAGATCTGCTTCATATTATATATAATAATAAATACCCTACGATTTCCTGCGCACTGCTGCAACAGATTAAACACGTAATTATATGTTTGCACACACCGATGTGGTGCATCGGTACGTGCCTTTATCGAACATTTGCCGATATCAATTACGCGGACGAGCTTTTGAATATTATATGAAGTATGCCCTGCGTGTAGGCCGACATAGACAGACTCCCCGATTCGGTACATATACACGCAGGTACAGAAGATACTCAGCTCGATCAATGTAGGTTTATAGAAATGGCCCTGCAGAGTCGAGCGTATAATTAATATTCCTATATCATAATATAAGCAACAGTGCATGATGATTATCGAGTGGGTGGCAGGGAAGGTTGTGGGCGAAGGATTAATGGAACGCGGGGGCGGCGGTGTTCGGAACAGGAGAGCGAGGCGAGTTGAGCGGATGGGATGTACAAGCGGGAGTGCTGTCCATGAGCGCATTTATACATCGATTAAAAAGGAACGTCTGCTACGGTTAGGGTAGCGGACCATCAAACTCTAAAAGGACGGAAATTACACGATATACATATTATATCGCATTGTAACGGATGCGGACGAATCGACGAAAAATCTTCGAACGCAAGAGATTTTCGACGAATTGTAATTAAATATTCACTAATACCACTGCAAGAGTCACGGCTCACAGCGAGATTAAAAGTAATAATAACGAATAAATAATAGCAGTGTCCCGAGGTGTGAATAAGAAGCGAAAAAAGTCTTTTAAAGCAATTAGTCATCTGTCGGGAAAGTCGGAGGAAAGAATATTAAAGCGACCGACTGTCTACTGATTTTAAACGATTTTTAATGAGTGTTTTTTTTTTTTTTTTTTTTTTAATATACTATTATATTATATACCAAGTGCATTTTAAATGTACGACTTGGGCTTAAAAGGGATTTTAAGTCCTAAATGGAATTTTAATGGTTGAACGGTCTCTAAGAATTAATACAATAGACGAAAAATTATACACACAATAACCGCTTTCAATTAAAATTTTAAACCGCTATTATAATGTATAACTATGTATTTAATTACACCGTGGTAGGTAAATTATTATAATAATTAATAATATATTCTATACATGTTTTCAATGTTTATTTGCTACCCTGGATTTGAGTTGTTTACCTAAAATTTGAAAAATCGTACTTACACACACTTGTACGGAAACAATTAATATTGCGTTTCTGATGATATTATATTATATATAAGACTACTGAGATTGTCAACTGTGCCCAACGGTCAATGGCTAAAAAAAAATCATCTGTATAAGTTCAGGATCGAATGTTATGGTTAAACAGGTTATGTCATCCGGAAAATCAGACAGTATATTATTTTGTTGAAATTTTGTTTTGCGACTGTTATCAGATGTGTAATATAATAGTTTTATTTTCTCGTTATTATATCAATTGTGAACAACGAATATCGTATCCCTCCCTCCACACATACGTTGCGCAATAAATAATAATAAAAAAAAATTCCATCAACAATGTTTACGCGACGGGTATACTACGACGAATTGTGTATATAGTAACAACCCGAATGCAGCGGAGATAGACATTTTGACAGACTATAAAGCAGCTGATTAAACGAGTAATCCTTGAACCCATGAGTCGAATATACACGCCGGAAAAGAACGTAACGAACTGGAACGAACCTCTGCCCGCTCTTATACATAAATATATATATATTATACATAGACACGCCGAAACGGTGAAACGGCGGGCGAGCTGCTCAGCATCCGATCGATTCCGAATCTTTCTCGTTGAATGTTATACAGCAGACAATACATCATAAATAATAACACATAAAATAACGAGTACACTGCTATAAGACAACGAGTCTTTATCAATACATTATATATTATTGTTTTGATGTCTTCAACGCGTGCCCTAAAATATATAAGTAATAGCTAAAAAGTCAAAGAGATGAACGTCCTTCGATGGCACCGCACATATATTATCGTTGTAAATCCTCCTATATATATTAGGTACGCGAGTAGAATTAAATATTATATAGAGACTTTCTATGCCAAGGGCAACTCTGATCCACCTGCATCTCGTTATTATTGGTACCTTCCAAGGTATATTCAGTTCATCCATTGAATGTACCTATTTATATTTTTCAGTTTCGACTATTATATTGTTAATAATCACAACGCTGTTATTTGCGATAAGAGGCGTCCCGAGAGCGATGGTACACTGCCGTCTCTTAGCGAATCGTATGTATACTCACGTAAAATTATTCGTTTTATGGTATCTACGCAATTTTCTGGACTTATCTACAATCGTTAAGTTATAATCCATGTATCCGGTTAAAAATAATAATAATATTAATAATAATAAATAAGAGCAGAAATTCAACACCAGTATCAGACAGAAAGTATAACATAGATGATATATAGTATATATATATACTTCAAAGTGAGGTGGCATCAGGTTGCTCGGGTGTAACATTTTCCAGGAGATCGAGATAAGCTATTTGACAACCGTTGCTGTGGTCCTATCAACCTCAAGAAAAATTGTTTAATCCAAGCTGATAACAAAACATGCTCTACGACATTGGTACTAAAACGTTCACTATAAATTGCTTTAATCAATTTGTGTTTCATAATAAATAAAAAATTCATAAAAGTTTATGTTTTGCATTTTAACTGTTGAACTGTGTGTGCTACTGTGTGATGCTATCCGTAGGCACTAAGCACAGAGAAAAAATAAAAGCTCAAAAATCGTAAACGTCCTCAACAAACTAAATTCTATAACACCGAGTGACGACCGCAGTTCAGGCGTTTTCTGAAAGTCATGACTCATGCTGGTTGTACATTGCAAGGAATGCCGATGAAGTGAGCCGTATGAGCACTAACGATACATTTATAGTTCAGATTCTTTCTTATCAACAGACGTAACATTATCGTCAACCGTTGTGCACCATTCGATCGGGTGCCAGACGACATAAAAACAACATTTACAGTATATTAAAACAACAATTGTGAGGAAAAAATACACAGGCATACAAAAATATTGTTATAAATCTATAATATAAGACCATTATTGTAATATTATTTCAGCCGAGTTTCTCGTGAGCGCGTGCGCACAATATTATTACACGCTTGTTGTTGTTGTTATTATCATTATTATTAAATCCGTCACCAAACAGACGCACGAAGGTATGCATATATGTGTGGTGGTGAAGAGATTGTTACGTGTTATTATTTTGATTTGGCGGGCACATACATAAATGGTGTGTACAACCACGACGACATACATACAATACCAAAAGTGACACGCAATCCTCTGGGTAATTTTCGTAATTAATACCGTCATTTTGCGCCAACAGAATGTACTCTGGGGCAAAAAAAAAAATTATAAAATAAACACACCGCATCATATTTTGTATTATTATACATTAAACACATACCTATAACTATACCTATGTATTATTATATTGTATACAGGGAGAATACGGTTCGGTCGGTCACGCGAAAAAAGAAAATACGTATATACGCGGCTCGCAATGCATGCGGTAGATGGGCCCGTCTCCCATCATTTGCAGAACACGGTTATCAACTTCTATTTATTTATATATTATTTTTTTTAAATTTTAATTCAACGAACGCGCCACTGCAGCAGACGGTATATACGCGTGAAAAGTTTCGCCTTTCTCTCTCTCTTTCACTATCTCTCCGCATCGTCATCTCTATATATCCGACTATATCTATGCGTCCTCCGCAAATCCTATTATGAACGTAAAACGATATCCGTAAAGCGTACCAAGGCGGTACTGGTGTGCAGCATACGCGCGCGTTGCAGTAAATCGAATAAGGGGAAAAAAAACTTCTGTTCAACTCGCACGGGCACGCAGCCGCCGTCCGCATACAGTATTATATACGTGTATACAATATTATAGGTACTATCTTCGTCGTTGTATCACATTATATACAAAACAAACCCCAAACAGAAAAAACACACGCACGCTCGTATAATAAATATATATAATATACGCGCGTCTGTCGAGCAAAAAATAAAATAAAAAAATGATATATGCTCACACGGGTACTCGCGTCCTATATATGTGGATATGCGCCAATGTATTACACTACTCGAAATGCATTCTCACATAATAATAATAATAATAATAAAAATATACATTTTTACCAATGGAAATGTGTTGAATCGATGACGGACGAGGAGGCTGCGCCGCCTTGGCAATGTTTTTCAATTTAAGAAAGCCACGGTACACTACATAGTTTTATTATCATACAAGAAAGCAATAATAACACACATAATATACTGCAGCAGATCGTTATACACAGAGATAATATCGTTGAAATCGAAACGAATTTGTACGATTTTTTTTGAACTCACAACAATATATCTGGTACAGTCCCGTTCTTATTGTTATTCCAATTGGAAAAAAACATTATTGGATATATAATTTTATTAATAACTATCGCCTGCACTATCAGATTTTCCATAATATTTATCGGGGACCGACGCGGATATAGGTATTAAAGTGATCACGAAATAAAATAAGCATACATCAATGAAAAAAATCCAGATGTACCTATTACGCAATCGTTAAGCAATTTGCAAAACGTAATTGTCAAACGACTAATTTAGTACGACAGCCCCAGCCTATACACTTATATAACTATAACTGCTGCAGCAAAGGGAAGTTATTATTTAGACATTGCAAACCACCGACAACAACAATATGTGTAGTTAAGTATCGTGTACCGATTTTTAGAATCCATTTTTATACTTCCTTGTACGATATGGTTTTTAAATATCATTTGTATTATTTTTGTTCCAAGCGGGACTTGGGGAATAAAAAACATTCTCGGGTTACAATAGAAATGTGTATGCATAACACGTTTTATATAAATAAAACTCAACAAGGTATGTTGTTTCGGAAGGAATCAAAATCAGTCTTTTGTATTTGAACGGAATTAAACACTATTCAAAACATAATAGCATCATTGCGAGGGAATTCATAACGTCAAATTAATTGTTAAGTAGCATTTTACATGGGCATAATAATAATATAATTTGGGTGGGGGCGGTAGAATTATTTCAAAGGTGTATAAAGGTGAACGAAAATGTTTAGGACGATATAGTTTAAGGCTACTAGTTAGTTTGATTACTTGTATAATTTATAATATATACTCCAGCCCACGAGAGATCATTGCTTTTTCACGCATGTAGACCGACGGTATTCCTTCACTTAGTGCCATTCAGTGTATGTTAAATACGTGGGGATGCGCGGAATCGAACGCGTTTTGGTCGGGACACGGTAATGATCTCTAGTGGACCGGAATATAGGTACACTTACTGACTTCTGAGAATTTAACTAACAGATTTTCTGAACGATGTGAATTTATTTGAACGGAAGTAATATAGGTAACATTGTAATAATGATAAGTAATCATTTCGAAATTTAAATAGTTTATATTGTGTCAGAGTCCGAATTTGTCGTATAGAAAATTTAATTTTTTTCTCATCGATATATGTATGAGTGTCTTAACACTGTCAGCTTGGCGGTAATCCAAATACATGAAAAACAAAAATATTATTATCCTTTGTTAATTTTGTGAGTAGGATATAATATGGGGTTATGGGGTTTTTGAAGAAGTAAACAAACAGTCGATACTGTTTTTCTGTTTTATATTGTATATTTTGTATGTATTATATAAGTCCATGCGTTGCCAAGTCTTAAGCAAGTTTTATTTCAACCCAGCACAATATTACTATATCAATGAAAATAAGCCTCTATTGTTGTTAGCATCGAATAAAAATCAGTGTCATATTTCATCCCCTTTTTATTGTTGGAAATGATAACGTTTAAATATTTGGAACGAGCCCAAAATATACACGATTATGTAATGATGGTAACATATACTAACCCACTGAGAATTGTATCAAGTGCCTGAAATCAATCAACAATCGATGAAATAAACGAAATAACGCGATGTGTAAATGTATAATATATTTAATAGCACTTCGGGCGAACGAATAGAAATGTAAATTTATGATTAAGGTACCATATTATATACGTCGCTTTGCGAAATTGCACAATTATATTAATACTACCTACATATATAGCTGTCATGGAAGAAAACTACGAGGTTTTGAGTTTCTGTATGTCACGGGTTGTATTATAAGTATAACTTTTCCCAGAACTTATTCTCGTCCTATTCCGCGGTATATAAACCACTCAGGGCTTGTTTCTATCACATTATATTATATTATATTATATTAATTTGATTTCGTGATGAAAAAAACGCAATAGATTCGCACACTCACCGGATTCGAGGTGTATTCATTGGATATGTACGGTTCTGCGAGCGGAGTCTTGTCCAACAGATGTCTTTGGTGTCTCAGTCTTGCGCTCCACAAGTTATTGGTCGAAACAATACCTGTAGAAAAAAACAAAATCGAAATGCACATGAGTATAATATAACATGTAAGTGGGCACCTACACATAATGATAATAATTCAACCGAAGTAGGTGAAATTACGAGAGCGCGAAACACATATTATCTTATATTATACTAGTGAGACATATTAGTTGTAATATATCATACGACAGTGCAACACACATTTATACACCGATGACGGTATTATAAAATATGTTATTGTAAAGGGAGCGTAGGGGAGTTAACGCGGGAGATATAAAAAATAAATAAAAAGCGAGGAAATCCCGAGACCGTAATACCGTTATATATTTACTATGATGTAGGAACATCACCTCCATACGTAGGCTACGAGTCTACACGCATATAAAAAATCATTTTTACTGATTTAATTACTATATACATATTACATATTATTATTATTATCAATAATCACCGTGATATTATTGTTACGATTATGTACTCATAACACACGCACACTGCACATATATAGGCGTAATGCGCATAGATGATTAATCGTCTGCACAAAAGTACGTTTTCGCCACTAAACTCTCGTATAACGCCGTCATAGGATATACAATTACAGTTTGATATTAAATACATATATATAAGCATGTATGTATAGTGTCCACGGGTCATGTTGTGTCGCTTTTCCGAGTATTAAACCCGGAGAGACCTCCGGGCTTGATGTAGGCTTACAATATTATTATAATACGTCGAATTAAACGAAATTATACGGACGGACACTGCGTATGCGATCGTCCAATTCCCGTCCGCCGATCGCATACATAAATTCGAACATTCGCCACCAAACGATGGTCTCCAACAAAATGCGTATCTTCCTTTTACTGCATAATATTATAATATTATACAACTGTTGTCGTACACTGTAAACTCAAATATATCATTTTTTAGCGGGACAGATGGTTGTAGGAACGTCTGCCGACCTATATTCTTCGAAATCAAAACTAAATTGCATCTTAATATTATAGCCTGTATTACAGGTAGATAGTATCTGGTATATATATAAATATATTAATAAGAGGTTCATTTTGAGCAAATATATTTGTTGGTACTATAATATACTATGTATTTCGATTCTTGATGCGCAGAAGAGACACATAAGAAAGACAAGAAATTGGGTTTATTTTCTAGATTGCAACTTGATGAGGACTTGATTTGAGGGACACAAATGTTATCGTGTCACGTGCGAGTTGGAACCACGTTCTCGTATTTAATTTCCACGTAAACTGTATCCGGTTTGATAGTGATTGTATCACTGTGATACATTATAATATAACACGATTCACAGTTCGCTATTTATATACATAATGTATCTAACAGTAAAAAAGTCATTAAAATATAACATACCAAATAGCAAATAATTTTACATTCAGAATAATCCGTTTTCAATAAGTTATTAAAGGTTTATATGGATGGGCTTTTTTTCTAATTTTAAAGTTATGAGGGTTTTACAATTTTGATTTTAGATTCTGAGTGGAACGATGAATGTATTGATTTTACAATGATGTGTGTTTTTTCTATTTTTTTTTGTGTCTGTTATCACCTTTTAGGACAGTAATAGTGCTTGGATTTTCTTCAACAGTATCTTTTCCAGTAATTTTCACACAAAATCTGTTTTCGAAAAAATCGATTTTGGTTTTTGGTGCAACTCTTAAACAAGAAGTAGTTAATTCTGTTACCAAAAAATCTAAAAAATACACAAGCACAGTTTATTTTTATAGTCATTTTAAGTTCAAATTTGGACGAAATTACATATTAAAAAAAATAGAATAACTATTTTAGTTATTTTGTTGTGATTATACAATATTATTCGTGGGTACTTGAAACTTCTAAAGTGTACTATTATATAGTATCACGGTTTTTTGTTGACGTACAACGGGTTATAAGTACCTAATGGATATTGTGATATGATTAATTTGGAATTTATTATAGGTACCTATTATAGGTCAATTTTTTTTAATACCATATATAAGTATATATAAGACATACTACATAGTATGTCTTATACCTAGAGTGACACACCGTCTCTGCTCAGAATCGTTTTTCTTATATGCACAATGATATTATATCATTGAATTCAAATTTAATACCATCCATTATCCAGTGACCCACTTGTAACCTACTGCTGTACAGCAGAGCAAATTTTTAAATTAATTCTTACTTATATAGTTATACGTTACTATGTTAGTATAATATGTTAAGTTATGAGTCCCCTGCAGGGTCGAGCGTAAACTATACCGTAATAAGGCGGATACAACACATACGGGTACGACATCCTCTTTATATCGGACGATTCAGACGCGCGTATTATATCGTTTACAAAGGCTGCAGCCGTTTGCAGTAAAAGACACTCTGAACGGTCATAGAAAATAAACGTCATGCCCTAGACGTACAAAAAACAACGGACGATTCTCCCTTATCTATAGCACCGGCGGAATAATTGTTGCCTGAACCAGAGTTTAGTGTAGCTGAATCCGATTTTGGCGAGGCGGTCGAGAGTACCTCTAGTGAAATCGAAAACTGGCAGACGCAACCTAAGTTGCCCAACATTACAGAGCTATAAGTGTCTCAAATAACTCAAACGTCAAAACAAAATACGTATTTGCGTGCAATTAATAATAATAATAAAAATAAAAATTATTATTAGTATTATTATCATGCTTCCAAACTTTCTTCTGCTATATGTACTGGGGTCGAATGCATGCATTGTTTCAGATTTATTCATATGGTTATATTGTATTTTGAGTCACAAACTATAACTATTTTGATCTAACAACTATACGTGTGCAATAATCTTATATATAAATTACTCAATAGTCCTCTCGCAGTTACACGCACCGTGCACCTGACCCACCTGACCCGTGATAACTGTTCTCGTTTTGATATTGAAAATCGGACGTAGACAATAGACAATGCACAATTCAATTAAAAGAAATTAAATACTAAACAGTAGTCATTATAATGTTACATTATAAGTTGGTACCAAACCATTTTATAGAATCGTTATACCTAACCTACGCTTATAATATCTTAGTATTCCTCGTATTATAGCGGTTCAATTTGTATTCAAACAGTCGAGTTGAAATTACTTTGAACAAAATATAATATATAAAGGGTCCTTGCTTGAACCTGAAAGAAAGGGTCGAAATCCACGTATTACACGTCAGTTCGTTTCAAGTCTCGTCGTGACACTGCAAATACGCGATATTATAGAGCGAAATACAATAAAAATAGATTGTTTGAACTCACGACCGCTGCATACTTGTATGGGTGTGTATCTCGCAACGTTTGTCCCGGAAAATAACTTTTTTCCACATTATATTTTTCGAAATTAAAAATTGAATACGGTCCATTTATTCATTGTAGGGTAAAATGGGTGTGCCTAAAAAATAGGACTTAAAAAAAAAATGTTTACGGATGGTTATGGACATTATTACCCTGCGTTTATTACACTACAAAACACTCACTGGTATCGCAGAGGTGGGTCAAAAACAAAATAATTAAAAAATATATCCCCTGGCCTTCGGACGTCACATCTCGAGGAGCAAGCACGAGTTGTCAACAAAGTATCAGCTATATAATACACTTATAATACGATATAATTAATCGTTGTTAAATGTATTATTATTATTTTCGTTATATTATTATTATTACTTATACACGACGCACGCACCGTACACGGTACCATAATAATAACGTGTACATAACTTTACTGCGCTTTTTCGCCGAAGGCATTATATTATTTTACAGTGGCCGACCGACTGTTCGCCACGGCCCGTTGTCCTCATCGAAGGGGTGTGTAATAATGTGGTGGTGATTGGTGTGGCCGGGGGAAGGGGGTGACGGTAAGTCAACCGCTAATAATAATTGCTTTTTGTTTCGAGCCAAACGGTTAAACTATTACGGCGTATTCCAAGCACCGGCGTGGGTGTAGTAATAATCAAATCTTTCATATTCCACACATTTTATTTTTTATAAAACACATGTTAATTCATCGTTATATTGTACTCGTACAAATACGACCACTATGGATAATGATATTTTATATGCGGGTAGAGTTTTATGTACTTTTATTTATCCGTCATAATATATATATTCAGTTAAAAACGTATTAATAATAACTGTTTTTACCATTGAAGGTGCTCAACAATTATAAAAAACGAAATTTAAATGCGTCGAGTACCATAATATATTACGTACATAAAATAATCCAGTATTCACAAACAAAATTATCTTAAAGTATTGTGGAAAAAGGGTCAAATACTCAAATAAGACAACCGGAAATGAGAGGAGCATAAACAGCACTGCAAGTTATTATCTTTTGCGGAAATACATCAATATACTTATGCAATAATTTAAACATTTAAAAATAACCCGAGTGAACGAAATTTATCAACAATGAACTTACCGCCGTTAAATGCAAAAATAAAATTTGAATTAATCGTGAATCGAATGTCCGCAAAAAAAAGTATCTTAATATTTTAGAAAGAAATTTAAAGAAAAATTAGCACTTGAAGTGCACCGAGTTCAGTGATTTTGACTAGGTAATAAATAATAGTCGTTGCACGCCGATGCCGTGCCGGCAGGGACAAATCGGGAGCAACGCCTCAAGTGTGTATATAGACCTCACGGAAACCTCAGTTTTTACCGATATAATTGTTTAAAAAATGAAAATAAAAATGATAAACAACAATAATTATTACTGTATGCTGCCAGGTATTCCACTTTAGCAAAATATATATTATATTATGCATTGAAACGTCTCCCCAAAAAACGACGAGAACGTTTTAATAAAACTATTACCTCGCTGCGTTTCTACATTTCGAGGATATTAAAAGTTACAAAAAATTAAATAAAGTTTTATTATAAATAAAAAATCCCGTCGACAGAGATTTGTATATTTTGTTAATAATTTAACTACACGTTCGGTTGGGTAGTCGACGCACGACCGTAATCGCGTTTTTTAAGAACATATTTGGAAAACAGTTTTTGGCTTGCATCAATAGACAATTATTGAATAATGTATAATATACCTAGTATAAACTTACGATAAACTATTTTTTTTTTATATTGATCTTAAGCCCTGCGGCGGTAACTATATGGCCATTAGCTATTTGTAGGGGGGGGCTACGATTGGACTGGAATACGTGTGTGTATGTGGGCAAGGAACTATCGTGACACCGGCCGGTGCTTGCAACTCAGATCACGTTTCGCAGCCACCATATTATTATTAGAACGAATATGGATGAAGCTCGGGTAAATACAAAAAAGGAATAGGTAAATTGATTTTGGTAAATTTTCAATTATTACCTATATACTCTTAATAAACACATGAGATGATAAAATATTTTTACCGTGATATAGATATATGGTGGGTACAATATGCATACTATTATAATAAAATAAAAGTTTAAAAAATAAATAATATTACACACTATAATAAGCTAATACACTTTATTCGTGTCGTCTACATATAGGTGTGTACGTCATACGCATCACGACCGTCTATATGGATAGGCGTGTACACGTATTATTATAATATATCGTTTATAGAAGACTAGACACGGCGTATATAGCACACGATTACGATATATATATATATATAATAAAGGTATGGAGATAAAACGCGATGCACAATAATGATGTACACTTATTGGTATTCCGTCCGTGTCCGGCGCAGAATCATAATAATTGTCAAGGCGATATATTATATATTATAATATTATTCTGCCACGGTGGCGTATATAATAACGATTGCAGGAGCGCGTGGACTTTGGCGGAAAACTGGCGTTTCCTCTGGACTATACGGCGTAGAAAATGTATATACGTGTGGTGTAGGCATATATTATTTAAGTCGTCGCAGCCGCTCATGCCGACTCGCCACTAAACTCTTCTCGTAAAACCTATAGTTATATAGTATAGTTGGAAGTGTGAGGATCGTGTCGTCAATGATGATATTCGCTCACAGCTGCATAATTTATAAACACAAAAAATCGCCCACCACACCACACCGTAATATATTTTTATTCGACGTAAGGATATACGGTATGGAAATTAAACAGAATATCTGTATAGACAATTATAGACTATTTGATTAAGTGTATTCGTACGTATTATATTAAGTCGTATTGAATGCACGAAGAAAAGAGTGTTTCATATCAGTGGTTTGATAAATGATTCAAATTTTTTTGTTATAAGCTTTATTAGTTGATTTTTGATTATCAATTGTTGGTAGTTGCAACCTGCAAGACCTTAGACTACGGCTCTCTGTATAGTTTATTAAATGCCATCAAGTTAAAATGTATAAAAGATGACGAGATGGAATTTTCAAGTGGGCGGCACAATAAATTACAAGACTACTTGAGAGTCGAGAGCCACACGGAACAAAACAAAAACAATTCTTATCTTATCAATATTTTATTCGAGGATTAATAATTATCATTTATATGTCGATTCAATTACTTTCAATCGGTTTGATGGAATTCTATCAAACCATATTACTACATATACAACATCTGCTGTACACACACACACACACACACACACACACACACACAGAAAAGTATTAAAGTTATTAACACATACAAAAGCTGTTATATTGACAGTGCGAGAGAGAGAACAATATTCTGAAATACCAATATTTACAAGTAGAGTGTTTAAAAGTTTGACAAACGATTTGAACGTATAAGGAAAAATTAAATACATAGGTATACGGATCATGTCACTGTATTATTATTATTTCAATAAAATACTTGCACACACAAGCAGGGTTTTTTTTTTTTTTTGGGGGGGGGGGCTTTGGCTTTATAATATCAAATACACGACAGGCAGTAAGCAAAACCAATACAACTAGGTACTGTCAGACAAACAAAATTACTAAAAATAAAAATCGGTGACAACTGCAGAACATAGTAACGCGGTGTTAGAGCAGTGATTGTAATTATAAAAAAAAATAAGCACACAGTCATTTTCCGTTCATATTACGTACATAAATGTAAATACATCATCAACGTCGAGTAGATACTATGTAGATAGTGCGCTTGTCGTCATCTGTTTCGCTGACGTAGGTATCGCATGTCACGGAGAACCAAACAGGCAAGTTATCAAGTGGAAACATACATCATTATATAATATACAGGATGATTCATAGAGCATGCTCAGTGCTCACCCATATTTATTCCTTTTATAAAAATGTATTAACATTTATATTTTTGGAAATTGTAAGTACCTACCTAAGTAGTATACGGTAAACCTAAGGACCATATGTTCAAATACCTACTTATGATTGTTATCCATTTAAGGATTATCGTATATATGGAGGTCCAAATTTTTGAAAATGTTGAAGTATTTAAATCAATGTTCAAAAGATACCTTGGTAAGATCATAGTATTTCTTTACTCCTTAATAATGGTTGTATATAAAATAAAAAATAGATATAAGATATAGTACTTATTATAGGTACTCTTAAAATTTTTACAATTTATAAAAATGAAATTAATTTACCTTGATAACTATATAACTGTATAATATTATATTATGATTAAATATCATTTAAACCTTACAGTCACTAACATTAGTACAAAAAGTTTATTAATTTAGAAGCTTCTGTCGTCGAACCTCGATTACAGCACACCGTTAAACGGTCGACAAATCGATTTCAATATCATGATGGGTGCAAATCGCGAGTCAAATTACAAGTATTACACGCCAGGGGAGACGGATATAGCGAGAAATATTCGGCAAACGTTTACGATTTCGTTTAGGTACACATTAAACATATTACATATTGTTATTATTCGGGGCCGGAAGTCGGGTTAGACATTTATTAGACACCGTTTTTAATAATATATTACGCATGCACGCACGATGTACATAATATTATATAATAGCGGTGCAAGTTCTGGTGACGGCTGCAGCACTATAGTGTGTAAAAAAAAAACGTTATTTTTACGAAACTCACCCCAAAAAAAGAGCCGACTGAATAGAAACGCGGCGCCGGATCGACCTGTAACCCGTATTCGGGTACATGGTTACTCGGGGATTCTAGTCGCAGACGTTCCTCTGACGTTCACACGGGTCGCGTATTATTACGTGTCCTGTATTATTTACGGTACGGCGAATCTAGGACGGGCGCGCGTTTGTTTAATGTGCGTAACAATTAGGTAAATTGGCGGAAAAACGCTCCGGCACGTCACGACGTTGTTATATAAAGAGCGCATGTACGTATTTTATGCGAGCGACTCGCGTACTTACCTGTGCATTACACTCGGAATCGGATTAAACATTAAAATATACATATATGTATAAAATATTTTTTTTTTTCATATCGAGCGTGGTATATATAAAAGTCCATAAAAGTGCGAGAGAAAAAAACCAGGCAGGATACACAGAGCCAGAAAAGTCGGGCACTCCGTAGAATATATACCGTCTGGGTGTAGTGCGTGATAAATTCAATTCCGAAAAAAAACTCGAGGCAATCGAAAAACGATTACGGTTAGTTACCGAAATTTCTTCATGGTTATGGGGAAAACTAAAGAGGAAATCGAAAAATGACATCCTAAAAGTACTAGCCGATCACGATTTCCGATGTTTAAACACTCCGAGTGTTTCTTTTCTGTACAGCAATCCTTCCGCCCGAAATAAGTGTGTGGATAAAATACAAAAAACCACCACAGTAAAATCAATACACTGCAATCCTAAGTAAAGGAATCTATAAAACATCATACATCATCGACGGGCTTATATTATATTTGTACGTCGTCGGAGACTTACACATTATCGTATTATATCGTTACTTGGAGTACCTACTGGCTACTATACTTCCGCATACTATTTGTAACTAATGATGACGAAATATTTCAGTATTTTATTTTTATTTGCCCTTGTCGCCACAGCGTCTGCCGTAAATCTTCTCGGCGTTTACGCCCGGCGAATTGAATTGCTTAAACTATATTCTTTATGCCGCCACGCCGCAGTCCACGGAAAAGTTTATAAAAGTTTAAAGTCATTAAAAAAAGAAAAGTATAGTACCTACCAGGTATATATGGCGAAGGTAGCAGTATATAATAATTATCGGCGTATCGCTGAAGGTCTGATGAAAAATTCAACGAGTTTGGCGAAATGACGAAAAAAGTGAGAAAGGAAAAATATACTAAGCACATCCGGCATTCGCACCAGGATTCGTGCAAAGAGGGGTGGAGGAAGAGGGGAATGAGATGGCGAAAACAATAGGTGAACCGGACAAATGATATAAAGACGATAACTCATATATATATAATATACATTGTACAGCTAAATATAAATATAATATTATTATTAGATAAGTACCAGCAATGCGTATTATGTTACACTCGATATTTATATATATATAAGAATATAATGTTACAGTATCGGTTTACGCACGACGTACGGTCTACATAACAACGTCATGTAAATTGGCGTACATCAATTATGACGGAAGTACTGGAAATTAATCTAACTTTTAAACCCGGTCCAGACCAAGAAACATTTGTCGACAAATATTTAAGTTACCGCTTATGACGGGAAATCGGAAACATTGTCGTCGGAAATTCGGCTGGACGAGTCTTTAGGTTGTAAAGCAAAGTTGTCAAGCACAGCGACCGTGTCGGCCGACGGCTTGATCCGGTGGTCGGGGTCTGCGTACGCGTTGGACGGCAACAGCGCCTTCTCGAGGCCAACAAGCACGCCCAGGTCCTCGATGAGCGCCTTTCGGCCCGCATTGTAACGGGTCAACATCGCCCTGTAGCGCTTAAGCAGGGCCCTCTTTTTCCTGGGTTTGTCGCAAAGTAGGTACATGCGCCACGCCGGATACAGGTCCAGGAAGTCGTCGTAACTTCGGTCGTACACGTCGGCAGCGGTCCTCTGCACCTCGTCCATGGCCATCAGCGCCCGGTTGAGCTTCTCGGTCTGTGCCACCGCCTCAGCAGCATCTACATTGTCCGCCACCTTCGCCCTACCCAGGGACTCATTCGCCACCAACATCTCCGCAACGTCCTTGGTCATGCCCTTCTCGTGCTCCATCATTTCCGAAACGGATTTCTCGAACACCCCCGCGGGACCGACCTCGTCCGGTTGTTCGATTGCCGTCACAGTCACAGCCACCGCCACCTACAACAGCGACGCGATCGCACCACCGCCGACGACGAGGTTTGGTTTTTTATTGTCTTTTATTGCCAGAGCCAATATGTCTATACAAATTTAGTGTAATATACCTACGGGAGACGACCTACCAAACGGTTGTTTATTATTATTATTATTTAATAGGTCAGCTGTTACGGTGCACGTAGGTTAACTTCTTTTATATGCCTTATATTGTATAGGCTATAACTCGATAACTACTCGCTAAGTGTACCTATACTTCAGCGGGAGAAATTTCATCCATCGTTACAATTCGTAGTATGATAATTTTTTACGTGAAATAAAATTAATAATAATAAAAAATTTAAGCAATGTAATTATTTCTGCATACACCACTACAAATAAATTGTGTTAAATAAGAGTTATATTAATGTAGTACACTACAAGTAGATTCGAATTATTATTGTTGTGGAAAATTCATGAAAAAAATTCCGTAACAGCTAATCTGTTGAATAATAATTTCCATAAGATATACGTTATGTATATTTATACGTAGGTAGTATAACAATGTTTACATTAATTACAGTTTATAATCATAAATTCATAAAAATAATTCATGTGGTAAGGGAAAGAGTCCCGCAATTTAAGTCTCGAAAAGTTTATTATACGACAATAAAAGAGCCATAAAAAAGATAGAAGGCGGAGAGTCGCATACAGCATAATACATAATATATTCCAATAATCAAAGACAAAAAAATAAAAAAAATGCAAAAACATTGTAAGTTTATTTATTCACAGGAAAAACATAAGGCTGTAGGTAAAATGAAGCAATGAAAACTTTTATTAAAAAAAAAAAAGGAAAAACAGGAAGGGACAAGAAATTATTCGTAATGATGAGAATATTAATGAATGCATAACATAATGCATTTGTTTATCATCAATATTGATATATTGTATGACATGTTTGCAAACAAGTTACGGCAGGATTATCATATTGATAATCCTGAAGGACCTGCCTTTCTCCGGAGGCGTGAAATAAATTATAGACTCAGGGCAGCAAAATATAGCAATATTGATTTTATATTTCTGAAAATACTTTAAAATGTTTTCTTAAGTTTTATGATAATACGTTCTAGTCTACACGTAGGTACCTACTATTTTATACTTATAAAACAAAAAAAAATTAAATGAAATTTATAAATTCCCATTAGATCCGTTAATATATAAGCACTTTAGTCCCTCTCTTATTACGCGTAGGGGCATATTATCCAAAAGAAAATTATAGTTTAAAGTTTAAACACGTATAATGGCTATACCAAAAACGTACTTAAACATATATTAGTCGATTAATTAAATGAAAAACACCACATGAAACTAGAAATAATAAAAGGTGCTTGATGCCTTGATGTGATATGATACATTTTTCACACTTAAACAATTATGATATTCAGAGAAGAAAAAAAAGTAGATACTCATAATTCAATATAAATATGCTACTTGACATTTTATGGTTATAAATGATAATTATAAAACTAAAGAAAAGACATAATCACATTTTTAAAATAAAACATTTTAAATCTAATGTACCTATCATAATTTATAACTATGGCATTTACCAAAAATAAGTCATACTTAAAGGAACTTCACTGACCCCCTCCCTCGAAAAAAAAAACCTTACGGTTTAGTAGGTACCTACAAACAACATTTTATAATTTGTAATTGGTTTTGTTTGAATTGGTTAGTTTGTTAATTATATAAAATATAGAGTATTATTATGGAAAAAAAAAACAAGTTCGAAGACTTTAATAGTTTAATCAGAGAGGGAAAAAATTAAAAGAAACCCACAATTGAATCAAGTCATATAAGGAAGTTTTTCCTAAAGTTTAACCTTTAACATATTAAAAATGTAATATAACTAGGGTAAAAACATTTATCTGACAGCAAAAGTAACTTAAACCAAACTTAATATATTATAATCATATAACCAATAAAATGTTTCTATAAATTGATATAGGTAGTCTAATAAAATTTATAATATTATTGATTCATGGATTTAATTATGGAAAATATATTTTAGTTATATCTAATAAAATAATATTGATGGTCAACCTACTTGAAAACATAATACATAACAGGTCCATTCGGGAGTGTAAAGTTATAGACATATTATAAAAGTAAAATTGTACTCAGAAAACATCCGTTGTATTTAATCGTAGCTAGTATTGATAATTATTTGTCCATTTTATTTTCAAATGTATTTAGTAATATCGTAATATGATATATACTATGTACATACTATGTAATAATATAATAATAATTATCATCATCAACAATCGATTTCGTATAAGCTTACCGCAAAAACGGCGTAAATCGTGTACGCTGACATTCCTTGATAATTGTTTTCGTTTTAGGACCGCGTTCGTCAGTGCAATGACGCTGACCGTTCATATTACACACATCGTTCAACGTTTTGATGAGTTATTATCCGAATAAATAACACATGTACAAACGTTTAGATTGTAAATATAGTGGGAATTGCATATTATAGGTATAGGTAGTATTTTTTTAATGGCGATTGACAACTGTTCAAATTGTTAAATGATTGTATACGCAGTATACAACAACTAAAATAGTTGTTTAGATTATTATTCATCAGTAGTTTCTAAAGAGCGTGTTTATTATTGAAAATAAGAAAACCGTTAATTGCACTGTATACACGACACATTTATGATTTGTATTCATGTAAAGTTGTTGTTGTCAAACTTTTAACATTTGTCATGAGTGTACCAGCAGCAAGCAGCCGTTCGTCGAGGTAATTTAAAATACATAAAATTCGTCCTAGTTGTAATTCATATTATATAATATGTACACATTATATACAGATAATATACACATTATACAAAGCAATCTCTACAAGCTGAAAACTCCAATCATATTTCGTATCTTACATTTACACAAAAAGTAATTTTGACCTCTTCATCAACATTTCGCACTTAATACCATCGGCGTAATTAATTTGTATATTTTACGCAAACTCGTGATAACATCGAATTTATCTAAATTATTAAAACAACGAGAAAATAATTACAACATAAGATTGTGTGCAATAGCTACGTGTATTTATTTGTTATGATTTTCTTTTAATTATTTATCGTTAACCGATTTAAAAATATTATATGGTACGTGTGTTAGTGTCAATACTGAAGTACCAAATAGGTATTCAGTTATCAAGTCCAAAGTTTTTATAAGTATTTATGTACTTTCTATAGGAATACAAAATTAATGATCATGTTTAGTATACGAAAAGCAACTATACAAAAGGTACGATATTTCCCCAAATACCACACTTAAAAATTTAATCAATTTTTCTTATGTATAAATTACGAAAAAGAACTAAAATAAAATCGAGTAGCATAATATATAAATTGTACTACTTAACGAGGAAATGAAGATGATTTAGATTTTCAAGGACATCATATTATTATTATTGGAAACAAATTGTATTACAAGAAACATGTTCTAGAAGAATATACCTATATAATATACTCGTATGTTAATACACCAATTAACAAAACGTCAACTCAAACATGTTCGGTCAATAATTAATATTCAAATTAATCAGCACGACGTCAACGTGTGCACAACATAATAAGTACACAGACGTAATACGTACAAAGCGCATATTATGCTGAAAATTTAAATTTAAAACAATTACATCGGTCGTAAAATGTTTTAACGAAATCAACTATAACTCGGTTAATGAATTCATAATTGATAAGTTGGCGGTAAGTATATATAAAGTATCTATGTCCTATATACACCTTATAGTAGTTATACACTTAGGGTTGTTATCAAATAATATCATAATATTTTTGCATTGTTTCTCACTGCTAGGATTTTCAGCTTTATACTCGACGAGTATAATTCCAGTGCAGCTTTTGTTATTAATAATACCAACACTGCGGTGTCTCGAAATAATATTATGACTGTTTAAATTACATTATACGCACTGTATGATGTTAAAATCGTTTAAAATTATTGAAGCACGCGCACACATGTTACAATATGGTACGTGCACCGTGTTATTTGGAATAAACTTATTGTACTATTTACCTACTATAAAGTCGTTAGTGCGTGTGTACACCCGTCGAAAAAATCCTGCCTTCCTCCTGACGTAATAGAAAAACAACAGGGAGATACGATAAAGGAGTAAACATCGTATCTTATACCTAAACCAATATGATATAAAATAAATATATTATATTGTATATATTATACTGGCAATATAAAAATGTATATTTTCGTGGATATTCATTCGAAACGACGTTACCAAGACGACATACGCTTCGTGATGCTATACGATTAGTAACATACATAGGTAGCATAATCGTTTTAAAAATATATCAATCGAAGCATATGGGTATACTATTATTTTAAGACTAAAGTTTAAATTCAAATCAAGAGATTTTAACTTCTTACGTGCACATTTCCTACATTTGATAAGTTATTAAGGTTATATTGTAAGTCATACGGATTGCAAGATAATATTCTTAGAAACCTTCGAGAAAATGTTTATGTGATTTTTAAATGGGTTGTACTCGGACGTTATTTAACCTACGATATTTGAGTTACAAAACTATACATTCCAACCAAAAAAAAATAATATAATACTAAAAACATTATTGCCTTAATACCTGCAATTAACATGCATAGGCAACACATTTTAATAATTTTTATCTATAGCTGCTGCTGATATTTTTTTAATAATTTAATAAAGTTTTTATGAACGGTTTATTATTTGTATTTTTGGATTAAATGTCAATAAATAATAATTTTATGAGAAAGATAACAAATGGGAAAAATCAAATTAAAAGTTTATGTAGTTTTAAAAATGATATAGGTATGTAAATGCAATCTAAATAAGGATTTATAACTTGTTGATTTGCAGATTAATAAAATAAGTGTTTATTTATGAAAATGTGAATTATCTACAGAAAGTAATTTATATATTATACGAATATATACTATATGAATGTCTGGAAATAACTTGCTTAATGATAAATGACTAATTTGCTAATTTATTAATAAAATCTATTCAGTTTAGAATTCCTAATATTTTGTAGAAATCATGATGTTGTATATTATATTCAATGACATTATATATAATATTATGCATATATACCTACGGCTTTAAAGACAATTTTCCGTCACAGCTTGGATCGAGTTGTAAAGTTATTACAGAACGATGGTTTTTAATTAAGAAAGCACAAACACAGATTGTAGAAAGACACTGTCCAACTTCGGTCTTTTTTTGAAATTATTCATCGAGATAACGAGGAATGAAACTATTTCCACAAAATTCCAAACTCGTCTCGTGTTTATAACGCGATATGCTTTCCTATTCTCTGGGGAATCATTACATTTAGGTTTATCTGACGGAGGGGTCACAGATTTTTTTCGGATATTTAAATTGGTGGATATCATTTGTACGCACGTTTCGGGACAAAACGAGAACGAGCGATGATATTTTGACTTTTTCATTGACTATAATGATACACGTCGAAAAGAGTAAAAAATAAATATTTATTTATATTTTATATTTTCTTCACTAACGGTAGTTTCTAATAATTTTATATATACTTCTTATTATAACTACATTATCCTTCAGGTTTCTTAATACAACAGTTACCTATTAGAACCTACAACCATAGCAACTGAGCTAGACATAGAGTACAGGACAAATTCCGACTGAGTGACGTAGGTATATACATAGTTACGGAAAATAGATTGGAGCTTTCACTGATCAATTTAAAATATTGAAAAATAGAATAATTATATAAATAATTTAAATGTATAAATGGTTATTAAAAAAATAATTTTAATTTAATTTAAAATATGAACTCGAGTGAAACACAAAGGTTTTTACTTCATGCAGGTAGGTAATCAAAATTATTCATGGGTGTTTTTTTTTTAAACATTTTATTATTTTATTAATAAAACGAAAAAACGAATGCATATTATCGAATATCAACCGCGATACACCATATTATACAAACGCTGATAAAATAAAATCATTTTAAAAAATAATTTTAACAGCTTATTTGTTATACTTATTTAAAATGGTTTTTGAATCAAAAATTAAATCTTTTAACAATACTATTACACATATTTACCAATTTTCTATGGCATACGGGGATACAACATAATATATAGATACATGTATTATTTATCTTAGGGCTAATTCCTACATTAGTTTTTGGTTGTAGGCCTATAGCCATCATAATATCGATGCCAAAATTGCACTTAGTATATTATAATATCCACCAATTTTACCTCTAAAAATCAAATTAACGTAGTTAACGTAACAAAACAACATGTGAACAAAAAACTAAGATTAAAACAATATATTTATAAATTATTATGCATTTATATAAGAATATACATATAACGACCATTGATTCTAAAATGCATAGGAAAAACAAAAAATATTCAGTATTGAATATAATACATTTATATCTAAAGAGGTACCTACTTTAATATTCTTATTATTGAAATTTGCTCGAAAACATTTTTCGTTCTACAAAATATATAAAAAAAATAAAATTGATGTCTATAATTTTTGGTTAGGATTTAAAATTATAAAAAAATATTTAAGGTATTTCTATTGTGAAGAGTGGATTCCTCTCCGTAGACCGAACGTTAACGAAAATATACAGGGCAGATGGCTTTATATAATATGTTATAATAGGTACCTACCGATCATATCATATATATATTTGTGTGACAAAAGCCGAAAACCATTCAGACATATTATATTCTTTCTTTATTCCACGCCTGACTATAGCATTTTTTTTTGCCCATTCTAACACATATAGGTATATTAACGTAACTCATCATTCGGTCTTCATATCTGTCTCCCCTCCACCAACTATACACGATGCTGGGCAAACGCAGAAGTAACAGTGCACTTTTAGTCGTAATATCTCACCAGTCATCACACCCAGAGGGTTAATAATAATATTTGTATGCGTTGTAAGCAGATATTGGAATGTAACCACCATTAAAAAAAAAACTAAATAAATACTTATAAATGTGAGTATATTATATTTTATAAGCACCGAAATGTAAAATAATGTTTATCTTTCCATAAGTCTTTTCATAAGCATGTGCATAATATTACTACGTCAGAAGTTACATAATAATCAAATAAAGTTTTTTTTTGTTTTAGGTATTAAATGGTGAACATACACCACTCCCCTCCCTACCAAGTTTTGACAATTATTACTATACTTATCGACATTGGTTTATATATTATTATAATATTGGCAAATAAAGAATTTAAAATGGTGGTTTGATGTATATTATTTATTTATCATTGTATATTAC